TCATGCAACATGATCGTCATCTCACCAAACGGAAGGTGGAAAGAGTTCGTGTCCGGCTGCCATCGCTCAACGAAAGCCGTGATCAGCGTCGAGTCAATCCTCTCATGCATGGTGGCAGGAAGGTGGCTCACTCTAGTGCCCCTCAATCGGCCGACCATCTCGCTCTCCTCCGGCCAAGCCTCAGCCCAACTACACAAGAAGTTACAAGTCCTCTCCCGGGTTTGGCATTTCAAAATGCCGCTATCCAAAGCCCGCTCTTGGTCCTCCCAAATACGGGTAGCGATGTGTCCTAGAAAGCTAGGAATCACACTCCCGTCTATAGGTCCCCCAGCCACCTCGCCCCTCACCACCCAAGAATCATTAACGGCCCTCGACCGTTTTCTGCTAACCGCAGACACAGTGGACGCAGATGATGTGCCAGATCTACTAACAAATCTACCATCTCTACCCTTACGCACGTCTACCCTACGCGTCTCATACACATCATCAAGCCTCTGACTGAATGGACCGTAATCATCATATGGTCCACTCTGATCGTCCACATCCTCATCTGCATCCTCCTCCTCCTCCTCCTCATCACCGTCATCATCTTCATCATCCTCAGAATAGTGCACCCGTTCTCTACGAGCCGAGGCCGAAATACCACGGGATCTAACGTGTCTGGGCCCCGAGCTCTCCATTGAGTTGATCGTACTTCTCATAATGTCCATACTCTTCCCAGCCCCAGAACGAAAATACGATGCCTAACACAAAATAACAAAACATGTAATATGCAATATAAACATGTAATATACACATAAAAAAAGTAATTAAAATAAATAAATAAAACAATATACATATGATGGAAAATAAATTAAAAACATTACAAAATATTAACAACCTAAAAATAAAAAAATTAATAACCTAATAAATAAATAAATAAAAAATTGGAAAAATTGGAAAAAAAATTACCCAAAAAAAACAAATTGGAAAAAACAAAGTAAAAAAAAAAATTAAAAAATAAAACGGAAAAACAAAAACAAAAAAAAAGCAAAAAAAAAAATTTGAAAAAATAATTCAAAAAAAAAAATAAAAAAAAATGAAAAAAAAAAAAAATTAGGGTTCCGGCGCCTGTCCCAGACGCCAGAGCCACGGTGGTGGCGCCTGGGCAGGACGCCGGTGCCACGGTGTTGGCGTCTGACGTGGACGCCGCCACCGTGGTACCGGCGCCCTGCCCAGGCGCCACCACCGTGGCTCTGGCGTCTGGGACAGGCGCCGGAGCCGTGGTGTCGGCGTCTGGGCCAAACGCCGCCGCCCAAACACCGCCGTCCAGCCACCAGTCGCCGCCGGGCCACCACCTTTTCCGGTTTTTTTTTTTTTTTTTTTAAAATAAAAAAATTTACAAAAAAAAAAAACATACCTTTCCTCCTCCAAACCCCCTTGCTCCGGCCACCGGTGCCGCCACTTCCTTGCCTTGCCGCCTCGACATTTTGAAAAAATATTTTCGAGAGAGAAAGTGAGACTACAAAGTTAAGAGAAGATGAGAGTGTGTTTTTTACTAGAGTAGAGAAAATATAATTTTAGTTCGAGGGCAAAAGAGTCATTTCACTTTTAATTTGTGGGCTTTATGTGGAGATTTGCGGGCGATGTTTAGCAGTTCACCTTTAAAATACGTATATTAGAACATAAGTATCTTCAATTATATCATGTAAAAATTAAAAAAAAAAAAAAATTAATATTTTTAAGGTGATATTGTAAGGAATCTAAAATATCCCATTTGACTATATTAATTCTTATGGATAATGGAGGATTTGTAGTAAAAAAATTTCAAAGATTAACCGAGGAGGACTGAAGCTTGGAGGAGTATACTAATATTTCGGAGTTAGGTCCTCTTCTTTTGATCTAATCTGTTGTGCTGAAATCTGCATGCTCTGCAATATGTTGGAAGCTCTGCCTATTGACCCCTGCTGTGTTATATTGACCTCTGCTCTGCTATGCCCAGACTCAAAAGAGCAATGCCTTAGGGCCTGTTCATATTTACTTATTTTCAGTTCAGTTCAGTTCAGTTCAGCTCTAATCAGTTTAGTTCAGTTCAGTTCAATTCAGTTCAGTTCAGTTCAGCTCCAATCAGTTCAGTTCAGTTCAGCTCCAATCAGTTTAGCTCAGTTCAGTAAATATGAACATGCCCTTAATCATGGGGTTTTATATTACGAGTATACTTTCTATGTTAATTACATGATTCTATATTATGCTGAATAAATAATATCCAATAAGAAAGCGATACAATTAATACTCAAACTTATGGAGTATTAAAGAGTAAAAAAAGGAAAATGTTTATTTGGGATTTACACATAAAATACATACGCTATCTTTATTCGCATGGAATAACAACTATTATCCTTCTTTTTACTCTTTCATTTATTTTTATCACATGGACAAATTTGACATTTTCAATCTTTTAGTATTTTATGTAAAATCTTGTGTTCATACCAAAATGATGCAATTAAAAAAAAAAAAAAAAAAAAAAAAAAAAAAAAAAAAGGAAGTATTTTATAGTACATGTAAAGGTAAGAATGCGTAGAGTAGAGCGGAAAAATTAGGAAGCTATTTAAGAAGGTGAAGGAAATGCAAAGCGTTAAGCGTTAGTTAGTAAGTAGTGAGTGGGCGGGGCCGAGTGATAAATGATAATGGGTTGGCTCATATTATCACTATCATAAATCATTGATGGTATTGTATTATTTTGTTGGACGTCACACGAACCTTTTATTAGCCCTCATTTAAAGTGTTGAACTACCATGGTGTGCATGGTCCATAAATTGAATGGTTGTGTGAATTTGCAACAAAGAAAGTAAATGGAAACACTTTCTCAAATTAGATGCTTACAAGTGGGTATCATTCTTATCTTGATTTGGATAGACTTTGTGTTTCATGTGTTGTCATGCTTAAATTTTTGGTGTGCATGTGTTGTTATTCATTGCTAAAGATCGAGAGTAATAAGTGATTAATTGTTTTAAAACACATATCTGACATATGATGAAGCCAGTAAAGTTCTATTTTTTAGCTGTTTAGTTGAAATTTGCTTTATTTTGCTCTGCTGACACTTACTTTATTCTGCTGAAAAATGCTATGTTTGCTTAGAAGCTATAAAAGAATAGGGTCTAAGCATATATGTATCTTGCAATATTCGCTTTTAATTACAAATTCAAATGAAGTTAATTGAAATATATTTAGTCAAAACTCTGTATTTCATATGAACTATAAAGTAGACATGTATTGATATTTTTGGTATTTGTTGCACTCAAGAGTCAAGTTTAGAAGTATTCAATTTATGCAATAGCATATTGACAAGTCTTTATGTTTGGATATCAAGTCTTTAACAAAAAAAAAAAAGTTTAAAAGTATTCATATGGAAAATATCAATAATATTCAATTTTGCATTCAATATTGATATTTTTGGTATCGATATCTTGATTTTATGGTAGCATTTTATTAAGAATGTACTCCATAATTATTTAAAATGATATGCATAGGAGATCTTGAGAAGCAATGTGTCATACTATCAGTCTCTCATACTATGTATTCAATATATATTATTCTTTAGTATTTTCTTTCACCTCTATAGTTTATGGTTAAAAGGTTTGAATAACAATTACCATTATAACAATAATAAGTGATGATAAGTGTCAAAATTAATGTCAGAATAATACGTGTATAACAATAAGACGGACTCTAGTTGGACTTGGTATATCCATTTGGATTGGGCCTTTGATGCAAGATTGGGCTTTGAACAGTTCACAATATCAAATCGATTGTGGGCCTGGTCAACATGAATCAACACGAGTACTATCATTTTTTGCAAACTCAAGCTTTCCTGAATTGATTGCACGCTTTTGCATGCCCTTGTCTTTCATGGTTGTTGCTTTAAATATCCTCTTACCTAGCTTTTTTTTTTTTTTGGTCCAAGATAAAGTCAACATATTTTTACAGAGTAAATAATTGTGTAAAATAATTTATAGACTATTTTGTTTTTTCAAGTAGTACACTTTGTATTATAGTATAGTACTCTTTATCTTATTATCTAGCATGTTTCTAATTAAGGTTAATGCACAAAGGGACGTCTGACTAGTAGCTAATATTCAACTTTTATTTGTTTTTCCTCAAAAAATTTTTTTTTTTTTTCTCTTTTACTAATTCTTCATCCCTCATCTCCATGCTCTAACAGGCTAACTCAATGCTTACCCATTTTAAACGAAACTTTTCCATGCTAATGTGACAAACTTAGAAAGAATAAATTTTATGGCTTTTTCTAAGCTATCATGTGTCATCTTCATATTTAATGCTTTTATGGATGTGATATATAAACATGTATTATACTTTGATATGTACATGCATTTAAGGGCATTTTCAATGTTACAACACATCGAGTTTTTCCATTTTTTTTAAAAAAAAAATATTATTATAAAGTCTAAGCTAACCTGATACCACAAATTGATAATTCACGGTGGAATTATGCTTGAACCCAACCCACTCTTTGACTTGTCTCCTATACGTTTTGATATTGTCCACTTTACATTTTGAACCAATTTGACTCGGTTCCTTTTTCATTATCCAAATAAATAAGAGAATAGAATCCTTACTATATAAACAAATACAAAATATGTTTGTATAAAATAGACTAGGTTGGATTGGACCGATCTACTCAATTTCTAAAAATTCCATCTCCACACTTTACAAGATTCACCCTAATTGAGCTACTTAATGGCTCCAACCCAATCCAATCTTACTTTTTTCAGCCCACTTGGCACCTACCCATTTGGCAATCCCTATCATTAGCACTTTAATCATCTTACCTAAATCACAAAACTTCAACTAAGCATTATTATTAGAATATACCAAAATCCTACCAATATTCCACAGTAAATATAAGAAATGGGTTAAATAAAAAATAATCACGCATATATTTGATATAGTATATATATATATTTTTTCTTAATAACAATAATAATAAACTCAAAAAAAAACTCAAAAAATGGGGGATATTGGAGACCTAAAGTCCCAAATATTCCCTCTCTTAAAAACAATATTTTACTCAAAATAATAATAATAATAATCTAACAAAAATCCAAACACCTCCCGGAATTCTGTTCTTTGGGCGCTCACAGGCACCCACACACAAACACCCAATTCCCTCAACAATTTTAGAGAGAGAAAACCAAAATTAAGAAGAGAGAGAAAACTAAAAATTAAACAACAATTTTTAACTCTTGTTCTTCTTCTTCATCATCATAACTTTGTTTCTTCTCCTTTTTTATTTCTATATTTTCTGAAGTCAGCGTATATTGTATTTCTTGCATATTACTACTATCATTATCTTAATTTAGTATTATATTTCACATCATAAATCATACTTCATTAGATTATAATACAAACACAATATTTTTCATTCATAATTTTATATTACTATAGTACAAGAAAATTAAATAAAGACCCAAAATTTGTCGAAATATCAATACCAAATCACCCAGAAAAAAAAAGAAATTTCTGGGTTTGTCAAGAGCTTCAAACTCAGATCTGTAGGTAGTTTCAGTTTCATCTTTTTGAGTTACTGTATTAATTTTGTTCATTCCTAATTTTTATCAAATTTTTTTTATTGGGTTTTTAATTTTTTAGATCTGATTATTGCTATTTATTGCAGAAAAATCTGATATTATTGGTGGGTGTTAGTTGTAAATAGAGTGGTGGAGGTGGGGTTAAGATGGATTTGGATGATTTCAGAGGAATATTGGGAAATTCAGGGGTAGATATTTGGGGGATTATAGATACTGCAATAAAGGTAGCATCTTTAGATTATGGAGATGAGCTTAGACTTAGAAGAGATGGTATTGTTGAGAAATTATACACAAATTGTCATAACTGTGAAGCTGCAATTTGTAATGATAATAAAACTAATAATGGGTTTGTTACTAATGCTGTGGTTGAGGCTGTTTTTGGGAGTGAAAGGGAGATGAATCCTAGGAAATCGAATTCGCCTTCTACCCCGGTTTCGATCCGTGGTGGGGATGATGTTGATGAGGAGGCTGAGGTGGATGTGGAGGAGGAGTTGGAGCAAGAATTTCAGGGGAGAAGGTTTGTTGAGAATGAGGAAGATGATGAGGAAGATGATGAGCTTAGGAGGATTCTTTCTGTTAGAGAACAGATTGAAGACACTAATCAGGTTGATTTTCTTTGTGTTAATTAATTAATTTACATGCTGCTGTTTGTAATTTGGTATGATTGATTGTGTACTAATAGTAGTTATAATTATGGGTTTGTTGAATTGATTTAGTCTGAGGATTCATTGGTTGATTTGCTTCAAAGTTTAGCTGATGTTGATATTACATTCAAAGCTCTTAAGGTTAGTAGTGTTGAGCTAAATATGTTGATTGCATTCATATGCTGTTACTTATGCAAAATATTGAGTTTGTTATGGTGATTGATTGTGAAGGAAACTGATATTGGGAGGCATGTGAATCGATTGAGGAAGCATCCGTCAGGCGATGTTCGGAGATTAGTTAAAGTTCTAGTCAGGTTTTGATTAGTTCTGTTTTAAATTGCTTAATCAAGTTTGGTTTTTTGAATGTGCAAAGATTGAGTAGATATGGAGTTGTTGATTTGGACGGTTTCTTGTGTTTGTTGTTTTTTGGTAGAAAATGGAAGGACTTGGTTGATGAATGGGTTAGGTCAAACACACCTGGTGAAGTTCAATCCTCAAATAATCTTATTGGTCTCTATCTCTTCCTTCTTTTAGTTTGTTTTATGATTATATTGTGAAATCATGTATTGTGATCCAAAAAAAAGCATAATTTTATTCTTTGTCTTGAATCTTTACTTTATTTTCCTTGTAATGTATGACTGTAAATTACTGGTTCAGTAGATGGAGACTCGCCGCTGCAGACTGTTTCAAAGAATCATCAAAATGGCAATCACAATCAGGTATATATGCTAAATGTTTCTTTTGCAAGGAAGAATATGAATATGCTGAAAAGCTTTCTTTTGCTTTTATTGTTTTCTTTATGAAAGATTCTTATTTTTGCCAATTTTCCTTTGCAGGTTCCTGATTTCGCCTACTCGCCTAATCCACACAGTAAGAAGAGAACCTGATTCTCATACAGCTTACATAGATCTATTGATTGTAGTATTGATATTGTTTATCAAATTCCTTTTCTCGACAGATGGAAGTTTTGTATCTGATAAAAATATTTCGGAGATGGAACCTAAGAGAAAAGCTCCTCTCCCTCCTCCCCGTAGAGATCCTCCAGCCAGGCCGATGAAGAGTTCTTCACCAGCATCAGCTCCTCCACCCAATGTACACCTTTTTCGAGATTTCAATTTGCTGTTTGGCTGATGAAAATTGAGTAGAACTAGAAAACATAATGCAGTCTTCTGGTTTTCCTTTCACAGCTCAGCATTTTCCAAAACCTCAAATTTGATTTTACTGTGATTTTAAAGATTTAACGGATTTTTCTGAGTTAAAAAAGTCGTAGAGATATATCGAAATGTTTTGCTGAAAGCTGGTCATTTATGAAGGGGTTTGTGGAAACAATTTCAAATAGCTTAGAGTGAAAGATAAGTTGCCTGATCAATTCCTATCTATTTTCTACAAGATGAATATTTTCAAATTAGTCTTTTGAGTCGGGAAATTTTCAAAAGAATTTGATAAAAAAATTCTGCTTAAAATTGCATCATTGGAATGGATTTTGATGTGATCAAAGTCCTGTCATCATCTTTGGCTCGTTCAAGTTTTCTGTTTTATGTTCAAAATTTTCTCAGTTGAGGAACTGAGCTGGAAAAGTTTTCTCTTCAAAATTTTAATGAACAACTCCCATTGGGATGTTGCAGAAACAGAAAGAGGTGCGAATTGACCCAGATAGGCTGGCGTCTGCTAGGAAACGGCTTCAGGAGAACTACCAAGAAGCTCAAAATGGTTTGACACTAACCCCTAAAACACCATTTTCATTATCTTTAAACTATAAGTAATGCTTGTTCTTGTTTGTCATACTGATTACTGATCTAGTGCTTTTTACTTGCGTTTTGGGTTGTCTTTGTTAAAGCCAAAAAGCAAAGAACAATCCAAGTGATGGACATCCACGAAATACCGAAACCAAGGAATTCTTTCTTTGGAAGAAACAAAGGTGGCTTTCAGAGGCATTAGTGGATTGTCTTCTTAGCTTTTCAAGAAAGCTAAAAAGGATTATAGAGAAACAGTATCACCAACACACAAGGCTTTCAGAACCAAATTGGAAGAAAGCCTGATGAGAATGAGAAGAAAAAAGAGGAAAGTAACGGTTTTTCGTTGTCCACGCAATATTTTGAGTACTACGTATAATTTTTATTTTTTTTCTGGAACTATGTTCCCCGTTTTGATGATCCCCCAATCGGTTTCGATCATTCTTAGTAATTTGTTAAAGCATTACAATAATTAAGTTGTGGACTGACTTGAGTAAGGGGGTTTCCCAAGTGGTGGTTTTGCTGGTTTGTACAAAAGTTTGAAACTACCTTGTTTCTATAGAATTTTGATAGGAATATTCTCCCTTACATGTGAAAATACTGAGTTGGGTTTCTCCCTTTCATCGTCTATGTTCTAATTCTTCTCCTAACCACCACGCCTCGGGTAGAATTGGGGGAAGGAGAAGAGTTCGGAACAGGATGAGACATGATCTAAAATGCCATTACAGTATTACACTGATGCATTAAGTGTCCTTAAGCCGATGCTACAATTCTTGACAGCAAAGGTGGGCGATTTTTGGAAAAAAAAGTGTTGTACTTTTGCCTTAGGGAGTGTGCAAAATCTGTGAGATGATGTGCATAATTGTAATATTTCCAAATTTGTACAAAGTCTGGTGTTCCCACCATTTTTGCAAGGAAGATCAATAATGAGTTCATGTGATCCACATGGCTTGAACTTTGCATGGAAAGTGGAGTTATGACTTATGAGTTGGTTCCTTAAATAGCTGCTTTTTGGCAAAAATGTAAAAACATAGAGTGATCATAAGTAATTTTTGGTCTAATTGATTGTTGGTGCGATGGTAATTAAGACTGCACTTGATAGGGAGAATCGCATGTTTAATCCTTCACAATAACAATTGGAAAGAGATTGGAATTTAACCACCTAAAATCAAGTCCCAAATTCGAATTAGCTTAAAGGATGATCTTGGAAGGGTAATGCTTTTTTTATTTTGACAGGAAAACAAGAGATATTCTCCTAGGCCTTAATTTGTAAAATGCTTGTATAATGATCTCTTTATTTTATAATTGATCCTGTTTAAAGTATAGAACCATGGTTTTTTTGGTATGTAAATCCCACATTAAGTCAAAGTTAATACACTGCCAAACAAACAAAAAAGAGAATAAAATCGAATTTGTTTTTCAGAATTTATTTCAATTAAAAAGTATTTAAAACATATGAGTATATTTTTTCATTTTTATACATACTCTATAGTACGTTTATTTTACTTAATGCATATAGTTAAATTTTGTAAGATTATTAAAAAAAATATAAAACAATATATGCCATTCGTATATACTAACAATTGTCTTGTAAACCCAGGTGTACTGTACAACTAAAAATATTTTTTGCTCATTTTGATTATTATTGCTCATTTTATAATTAAATGAACAAACAAATACGCTTGAATATACCGTCCGGGGGTATATAACAATAACGAATCATATTGTAGGAAGAATGAAGCTAAATTTATTTTTACAGTTAAATAACCAGAAATTAGTTACTACTGTAGTAGCAGTAGCAGCAGCAGCAGTATGAGTTTGAGATAATGGAAGTCAAAATGTAAGTAAGTGGGCCATGTATTAATTTGGCATATTGTGAATGTGGTGCTACTTTTTCATGTTTGTGGTTTTCGTTGCGTAACATCATACTCCGTGGGTCCCATTCGCCTACTTAATAAGTGGGTCCCTTTCATTTTTATCTTGTTTTTTAGTCGTATACTACTCGTACTGTATTTCATGACGAAACAATGACGGGTCTAGCCGTCTAGGGTTACTTTTTTTCATGCTCATTTATCTACACACTACAAATACCTTAGGTTGGTTGTATTTTGATCATTTTTTTTCCCCAATTCATTCATTCTTTCAAAAAAAGGTAAACCCCTTCCTCACACCATAACTCATAATCCATAATGGTAAACCTCTTCCTAAAGTAAGGGCATGTTCTAGTTGACTAACTGAGCTGAACGTATTAGAGTTGAAGTGAATTGAATTGAATATTTTATGAGAGAAGAAAATTAAGATAAAAACTGAACAGAAAATAAGTTAAAGAGAACATACCCTAAAAATGATAAAATCCATAGTGGTAAACTATAAACCACTAAACCCATCATAAGAACAATGACGATGTCGTGTGGTACTTTTCAAAGTTTGTGTGTCATGTCACAATGACACTTTACTTGTCAAAACATTGTGTGCCATGTAAGCTTGTCACTTTATTTAACAAAATAAATTTTACTTTGAGTTAGATTCAACCCATAACCACTAACGCATAAGGTTATATATTTACCATTTCAAAACCAACTTTGTCTTATTTAAATTAAACACCTCCCCTTTTCTAACCTCAAAACCCACCGAAAATTCAATTTTATCCTGTTTAAAATGAACACCCCCAAAGATTGTATTATTACAAAAAATCAAAAAGTTGTATCATCAAAAAGATTAAACCAAAGGTTGTATTATTTTTTGGCTATTTTTCCTAATAAATAACCAACCAGTCAACTACAAACACCTTCAATAGTTCAATGTTCAATCCTTTATACAATCATATACGCTGTGTTTGGAGAAAAGCTGAAAGCTAAACCTGATTGTGTTAAGTGATCTTAACTAGTTGATTGTATTAACCGATTTGACTAACTTATTTTATTAGCTTACTGTAGAAAAATGTTTGGTAGATAGCTGATTGATTATGTGAAGTGAACAATAAGCTAATTGTGGGATATGTAGTTCATATAGGATTTTTAATTTAATGGGGGTATAAATGTCATTTCATCATAATAAATGAATAAGCTTATAGAAAAAGGTCCTAAAAGGAGCTTTTGAAAAGAGCTTATTTATTGAAATAAGCTATTTAAATAAGCTTCCCAACAAACACCTTAAATCAGCTTATCTAATAGTCAATAATCAGATTTTGGTCAAATAAGCTAATTTTGCCCAAATAAGCTAGTTACCAAACACAGCCATAATCATATCAACAAGCCCCATAGAGCATCAATAATGCACTAGTTCTTAAAATGTAGTTCTTATTCTCTCTCTTATTCCACATCATCAAGAATTTCAATTAAGATTCACCTTTTATGTAACCTAAGAAATGCACTAGTTCTTAACACTATATCTTAACCTATGCCAAAGCTAGCTTTTACTAATAAAAAAAAAATACAAGCCATACAAAATGCACACATTTCGGTAGTAGCAAATGTCGTTTTGAGCCTAGTAAGCAGTGGTTCTTATTTTTAAGATCCATTGTTTATTTTAGAACCCCCAAGCACAATTGCTAAATAAGAAACTCCCATTTTTTACCTAAGAACTAATTCTTATATTTTCTCTCTCTTTAAGAACCCCCATTATTGATGCTCAATAAATCATATCTTTAATTCCTCTAACAATCTGTGTTTTACTGAATACTACGCTGATTGGTTGGAAAAACCAACAAAAAGATTTCAAAAATGGGTTGATTTTGACCCAAAATTGACAATATTAAAATACTACCAATTAGTCTAACAACGTAGCCCAAATGCCTAATTACACACAACCCAATTAAAAAAAGCCCTAAAACTAAAAAACACGGAAACTGCAATACACCCACCCAAACCCAATACATCCACCCACACCCAATAAATGTAACGTCATTTCCAAACTCAAAAATCTTCATCTTCTATATGATTTTCTCTCTCCTCTTTTTCACTTTCTATCTCCTCTATTTCATTCTTTCACTAAAAATTGCAAAAACTTTAATGGACATTAGGAAAGAGATGCAAAATCAAAAGGATCCTCCCCAAAAAGGCAATTTTTATGTAAATTTCACTTAATTTTGTTTGAATTTATATGATTATCACTTAATTTTGTTTGAATATTGTTCGAAATTTATTATTGGAATTGTCAAAAAAATTAGTGAAATTAAACGGATATTTTATGTCCACATTTCGAAATGCATGTTTATATTTTGAATTCTTATGTTCATATTTTGAATCCGTTTGTAAACTTTCTAAAATGCTTATATTCACTTTCTAAATTCATATGTTCATATTTTTTTTATGTATGTATTCACCTTCTGAAATGCTTAATTATGTTCATACGCATTTAAAAATGAACCAATGCATATGCTCATATTTTGAATTCATATGTTCATATTTTTAATACTTATGAATTATGATGTATATGTTTCATAATCATATTATTTTTATTTCTTCAATTTTTTATGTTCATAATAAAATGCCTTATATTCATAATAATATTTTATATGTTCATAATGTAAATATTCATAGTAAATATTTGTTGTTTTCATTAAGTCTATTTATGCATATCTTCTCTCTCTTAAATGCATATGATCATATTTTTTTAGCATATGTTCACCTTTTAATTTGTTATATTCACTTTATGGAAACCAATACTTACGTTCATATTTTGAATTGTTATGTTTACTTTCTGAAATGCATATGTTCATATGTTTTATGCTTATGTTCACTTTCTGAAAAACTAATGTTCATATTTAAGGGAATCTATGCATATGTTCATATTTTGCATGATTATGTTCATTGATTAAAAAAATGCACAAAATCAAATGAAATTCATACACAAATGAAATTGATCGAAGCTAAATAAAAAAAAAATCAATTCATATGAATTTAAAAAATTAAATAAACAACCAATTCCATATTGTAAGTAACATATTCAATCGTTAAATCGAAAAAAACGAGAAAAATAGGGAAAAAAACAGAGGAAAAAGGAATTAAAGAAGGAAGGAGAAAAAATAGAGTATAATTTGTGAATTCAAAGATTCATATATAACTTAATCAATCAAAATTAAAGCACAAAATCGAAATTTACACAAAAAATCATACCTAATAGCTACTTTCATGTTGTAAGAAACAAATTCAATTAAAAAAGTGTAAAAAAGGGGGAAAATTAAAAAAACAGAGGAGAGAGAAAATAAAAAATGAAGGAGAAAAATAAAGAAGAAAAAATCTAATGTTCACTTTCTGAAAAGCTAATGTTCATATTGTGCTGTTGTTACACCTATTTGTAGGTGCATGAGTGTGCACTTAAGAATATGTGAAATACCACGATTGCTTGTATTATGTATTGTCAAGTGGGCTGCATCACCGCAATGGGCTTTTATGGCCAAATTAATGGACTGTGGGTCCGGATCTCTTCTTGGATAACTACAACACCCGACAACTTCCGCAAATTACTAGTTATTGAGAAAAAATGAATGATGTTGTATACAATTACACAAGATTAATAAGTACGTTCAGTGCATGCACTACATATGCCGGTATAAAACACGCACAGTTGCACACACATCTCTTCATAAATCAGTAAAAGGTGTTCCAAATGAGATGCATAAAATAGTTTCAAATCCAATACGAGTACTTCAATGTAGGTATTATAAAGAAAATCTAAAGGAAAACTACCAAAGTCGGAATCCACAGAGGCATTAAATTTTGAGTTAAGAAAAAAATAAAATATAAACCATAAATATCTTTGCACCTTACGTTATACCCTGTGTAGTATCACATTAATAGTTTTGGTAAATGTATCAATATTAAATAAAAAAAAAAATACTCAAGTCAATTCATGGATGTAGCCAATACTTTCATTGGAAAAGCTATTGACGATCCAGTTAAATGGCTAAAATTAGCATCTCATAGTAATGATCTTATTTTCATAATGTGTAAAAAGTGGATATCATCTCATTCAGAAATAATATCTTGAATTAACTAGCAATTTGGTAATTTTTTTATGTTACCTAAAAAGAGGAATAGACTAGTTCACTCTTGTACCTTTGAATCTCCTGACTTCTTCAAGCTACCCAAAATTCCATCAATCAGCTTGTCCTTCTTAGTCTCTATAGGATCTGCAACAAACATATAGCTCTTTCGTGAGCTCTGCTTTCGTGCATGGTTAAATGCAGAAGCAGAAAGAGCAGCAGCTTTACCTTGGACACTAGTGTTGGTACTGTTGGATGTTTGAGGCGGCTCAGATTCCTCAGAACAATCTACTAAACCCTCGGCATGAGAACCATGATCCTGAGGTTCGCTTTCGTCCTTGGTGCTGTACCATGAATCCAAGATTTGCAGCAGCGAGCTATCTTCCTCATCCATCCTTGACCTATTTTGATCTTCTGCTTTGACTTGGGATGTAGTTATGTCCTCTTCCCATTCTGAAAATTCATCATCATCTGATACAAAAGGCTCATATTTACCATTCACTTGGCTTGGAGAGAATTCACTTTCCTGTTTCGCAACAGGCCCAAGTTCTTCCCATGGAGATTCACCATCCACATTCTTCCGTGGTGAATCAGACACATCGCTATCAGGACCTGGCGACTGATCTGTAAGGCCTAAAGACTCAATACCAATAGAATAAACCACACTATCCGAATAAATATAACCACCCATAATTTTCACCCCAGGCATTATTTGTAGGAGGGATACCAGTTTTGGGTAACCAAGCTTTTGGTGATCAAGAGAATATCCATACTTATAAAGGAAAGACTTTTTGAAGACTCCCATGTTGAAGCCATCAGGGTTTTGTGATAAAAGTTCATCCAAAAGCTTCTGACAATCTGCTAGGACATCACCTCTGGAGCTTTCAGAGGGCTTCTTGTGCACATCAGAGGAAACCTTGGTTTCAGGTTTTTCTACTGAAGATGAACTCTTGAAGATAGAACTTAATCCATTTGAACGTTGAGGCTGCACATTCTGAGGTGGAACTTCTTTAGTGCTCTCCACAGTAGGGAGAAAAATTTTAAATCGAGGAGTTTGAGTAGGGAACTCCTTGATCCATTCCTTTTCTGAAACTAGTAAATCAATCAAGTGATGAAGATCACTTTCTTGCAAAGGTCGAACACTGAAAGGTCCTTCCTTCTGAAGCCTTTCAGCAAGTTGTCCCCTAAGATAAATCCCAGAATTAGCAAATAGCATATATCTTGAACATAGAAGCATCAAAATCAACAGAAACTATTGATTTTATGAACCCATTTTTTTGCAAAATTTCTGCCACACTTATTCCAAGAATCGTGGTTGATCCACTTTAGAGCTTTCTGTGAAGCCTCTTGAAATAGCAATACAGTAGTGAGACATTGGACATTAAATTATAGAGAATATTGGAAACAAATTACTAGACTAAAGCAGGAATTGAATAACTATTACATATTAATATATTGTATAAGGTGATTATCAAACTGTATTCTAAATTGAAGGATTTTAGGAAGTTGTTTAGGTTCTATAGGGCACCTGAGCAGGGCCTTTGTCCAGGGATACACATCTCTGAAGATATTCTGTTAACCCATGACTTGAAGAAATATGCCAGAAGGAGGATTCTATTAATCTATGCTTTAGCTATAGGAAAGTGTATTATTTGTGAGCTGAGAAGCTACAATTTACCCTCTCACTGTCACATCAACAATTATTTTGTTTCCCTAATCAGATGGTAGAAATCATGGATTGGTGTGCATAAAAAGTATTGTACTCGGACATTAATAAATTATTGGTGTAAAAACAGCTTGATGAGGCTGATTAGTCCTACCCACTTATTTTCTGCATAGAAGGGCTCTCTCAAACATTTAAGAAGCTTGCTCAGCATAATGATCTTAATTTCCATCCTCTGTTTCAGGATAAAAGCTTCATTCATTCTTAATTGTCCTTTTACAAGGGAAGCCAGGGGTTATTCTTATTTTACATCAGAAAGCAATATTTTCCCTTACCTCATGAAAAGAGAAGTGGTTTATGAAATATGTAAAGGGTAAGAAGCTTTTGGCCATACTTGATAAAGCTACAATTGTAGCCACCACTTATGTGCTTTGGTCTGAAAATAAAACTGGTTTCCAGTTGGAAACTTCCCTCACTTCACATCATCTAAGTTACAACACATGAAAACATTTGATCAAAAGGCTGAGGCCTCGAACCTTGCTCCAACATGATTTATGGTCTTGTGGCTGCTGTGGAGGGTGATTCGATCAAGTTTTTGCAATGGATTTCCCTGCTATAGGGTAACCCCAGGTACTGGTGTAAATTCAGGAGTAGTGTTCAGATATCCTTTGGACAAGTTTAAAAGTTAATAAAATTTACAAATTTCCCAAATGAAAAGACTCGATAAGAAGCAGAAACTCATCTATGAAATTGTGATACCCCAGTCTCTCAACAGAGTGGGTAGCCTGTTAAAGAAGCCTTTGCCTCTCGACAGTATCAAATTCATAAATTGAACTCTATAAAGCGTTGGTAGCCTAATTGTACCAGTTACCAAGTTTAAACCAAGGGTCTCAATCTCTCAATGTAAACCCATAGACAATAGTCAAATGGATTTGACCAAACCAAACTGTATTGCTCTATATTACACAGTAACCAAAAGGAAATTTTGTCTGAAAGCTCCTTATAAAAGCACTTTGTTGTGAGAAACCTCTTTTTTATTTATTTATTTATTTATTTATTTTTCTTTTTTTTTTGAGATCATACCTTAATCATTTTATTTTTGCGAAGTCATACCTTATGCCGGAAAAAGGGGCTTGATCCAGCTTTCCGGCGTTGACTACCCCAACCCCACCCACAAAACCACCCCCCTCCTCAACCCCACCCACAAAACCGCCCTTTCACGGCAACCACCCCTCGCTCTTCCCCAAAAGCCCATCCCTTTCCATGGCAGCCTACTGAACAGCCCCAGCCACCCCTCTCCCCTCCACTGTCGGTGCTGACGCCCAAACCTCCCATGCCAGCGACCCTACCCCGAGACCCCTCTCCTCCCCTTTCCCCACCCCACCTTTCCTCCACCCTGATTACCCACCCCTTCTGTTTTCCACAGTACGCTCCCTCCCTATCCTCCCACCTTGAAATGACCCCCCTACCCCTTCCTCTGCCCTTAGCCGCGCCCAAACCCAAAACCCATACTCTAACCACCCTAAACCCTAAGGAAGGAAAGGAGGGGGGCGGTTTCTTGGGTGGGGCTGAGGAGAGGGTGGTTTTCTGGGTGGGGTTGGGTAGTCAATGCCTGAAAACCGGGTTAAACCCCATTTCCAGCATAGAGGTATGAATTCGTTAAAAAAAAAAAAATGTTTTAGGGTATGATCTTCCAAAAAGAAAAATATAAGGAGGTTTCTCACAAAAAAGTGCTTTTATAAGGAGGTTTTTGACAAATTTTCCCAACAAAAAAGATAAAATACATCTTAACTTGAACAAACTGATGACAACATTCAGAATATGTGCAAACAGACAGCTGATCCTGGAAGCAAGTCATTTGTCCTTTAAATCATGCTAAATTTGGATTAACATCATAAGAGAATTATCAATGAAGACCAGTTCTTGAAAGTTATTAATAGAACCAACTAGCAGGACAGGAGTCTGGAATTTAAAGTAGAGGGGCAGATAACCATAAAACACCATTTAAAAATCTAAAAGCAAGGTATTGGGTACACACATGAACTAATATAAAGTCAAATGCATAATTTGAAAATATAGTGTGACATGAATACCTGGATGATGAGTTTAAGACAATGTCTGATCCTCTGCGTGATCTTAAGAATGATTGAATAGCGCTCCAGAAAGTATCCTTACAGAACAGATCATGTCTCTTTGAATGTAAAGCGCCATCTAGCATCTGTGAGTCTTCTTCTATACAGCCTGGCTCTTGGCTGGATATTTCAGTTGATTTCTTGACAGATGAATTCCTCCAAGGATTACACCAGCTTATCACCCTTCTAATGAATCCTGGAGAAGCATCGGATTTATCATGTATTTTACTTTTGGCATCCTTGACATCCTTGGTTAATCTTGTCTCTTCAGCATCTGTACCAGTGCCAAACCATAGTTGTTTTAACATACCAAATTTACTTAGCAAATGTTGTTCTTCCTTTGGAGCCACGGGAATTTCAACTACCTCTGCATTAGTAGAAGCAACTTGATCGTCTTTTTGAGCAACATCCAACACTTTATTTTCAGGAGTCACATTTCCTCCCATATCTTCCAGTGTTCTTTCTCCACGGTCAATATATGGTGACACGGGCAATTGTGGGTTAATATCCTCCATTCTAGTAATTGTGTTAGCCTGACCATATTCTTTTCTAGTCACCCCTACTTCCTGTTTCTTTTCAGAAGTGGACCCTACAGAAGTACCATTTCCTTCTACAGATTTTCGAACTTTTGGAGCTACAGGACGTATAAAATACATACCATTATGACCAGATTCAATCTTTAAAATGTGGGGTACAGACATCAGAAACACAGAGAGTTTATTATGACCATAGTAATTTTTACCAATAGGCACTTTCATTTTGACCAGTTCATTTCGAAATTCACCAATGGTAAGTCCTTTGGGATATGCATTAATAATACGACGTAGCTGCCTCAAAACTACTACAGGAACCGGATGATAATTAGACTCCGAGGAGACCTCGACCTTAGATGAATTGTCAGATACTTCATAGGGATCTTCAAAAGGCCCTCTGTGGTGGCCATACCAAGAATTGAAGGGGCCATCTGGAGGTTGGTTATAATGCCAGCCAATTAAATGTTCCCCTCTAGCTAATTCATTCCAGTTCCACATGATGCTTGCAGCACTGCAAAGGACACTAAGATTATGCCTGCCTTCTGTATTTGCAGCAAGGAGTATATTGTAGTTGTTCATTCTCAATTTGTGTAAGATACCGGCAAAATCCCTGTCACCTGATATCAAAAAGATATGTGCAGGTGGAGGATTTTGACACACCCAATACATAAGATCCACAATAAGGGACCTATCAGCGCTATTCTTTCCACCTGCCAAGATAAACACAGCACAAAATATATAAGCTTCACCTAACAGACCAGAGAAAATGTCTTTTGAATAGATTTTATAAAAAAAAAAAAAAAAACAAATTACAATAAATAGTCAAGAAAATAGCAATATAGCATATATATGAGGCATCTGTAGCAAATTGCCAAAAGTGCTGAAAACTGATATGCAGACTAACACCAACAGGTACTTCCAAGATATTTGAGATGGCCATTAGAAAAGTCATATCAAATAGAATACAGAAGAATTCCACCCTTATGTCTTTCCCTAAAATACTCAGCATCACTAACCGACTCTTGCAATAAACCTTTCAAACATTGATCTCAATTTAGCAATTTGCATTAACAAAACAAAGTAAAAAGAAATAACATTTGCAGATCCAACATTACTGAAGCTCTTTAATTGTTATACCCACTCCATTAAAATTAAAATTAGGCCTCCTTTTAAGAAGCTCAGAAAGTTAAGAACTGGAAAATTGAATGAAGAAACAAATGGTTCTCTCACTGGTCTCTTACCATCAAATATCATATTCATACCTACTACCTATAGTTAACTTAGTAGCCAATAGATATTGTTGAAAACAACGCGCGCGCACTCAACATTTACACAGATTAATTCCACATTCATGTACCAGTATAACCCTAAGCCAGGAGCCCAGGATGGAGGATGGGATAGCGTTAATGCCATTAAAACTATAAGAGAAACCTCGCTACCATACATTGATGTTCTTAATCAATTGCGCAAAATACCAAGTCCCTAGAAATATAATCCAGCATGTACGGAGTATAAATTTGGAATATTATTGTGTGCATCAACTCCTTAAGATCAATGCAAAGTTTACAAACTGAAATCAACAAACAACTAATAAAACACAAGTCATATACTCAAGGAGAGACCTACCAAATGCTCCAACGCATAGTTCAGTTCATTTTCAATATACTTGTAGCCACTAACCAATATTCTAAGCAACCAATTTGATGAGACAAAGCAATGTGAAACTTTCCCATTTGTACTGAATACAATTAAGACAAAAAACCAGACAAATCAATCTAAGCATTAGCATAAAATTGCCTAAATTACACCTTCTTTAAGTATAATAATTCCATCCTTTCTAAATATCTTCCTACCAATTATGCCCTTAACAATAAATAATCAAAGCCCAACAACAAATTACCTACAACAACAATAAAAATTACAAAATCACACAAAATTGGTAATCTACAATTGAAAACACAACAACAATTAAACACCTCTAAATTCCAAAATAACAATAGAGAGGAGAGAGTAAATATACCACGAGGAATGTGAACAAGATTAACACCAGTGCTAGTCAAAGCTTCCTGATTAGCCCTACTAAGACATACAACATCCCCAAAAGCGGTAACTTGAACAGGACCCTTAATCCCATTTTCTCTAATAGCTGAAGTTATGCCATGGGTGATCTTAAACACGTTAATCCCATTTGGTACGGAGCAATTCTCGATATCCCACCACACTGAAACCTTCACATTCTTGCTCACTTCGTCGTGCCGCCGCGACGGCGAAGGAGCGGAAGAGTAATTCTTGCAAGAATTGGGTGATGCTGATGAAGATGAAGTTGAAAAAAGAGAAATACAGAGTATTTTTGAGGGTGAGGAAGAAGGGGAGGATCTAGATAGGAGAAATTGGTAAATGGGTTTTGATTTTGAGGTGAGAGAATTCATTGTGGTGGGGTTGAAATTGGGGAATTAGGGTTTTTAGTGATTGAAGGGAAATGAGAGAATTTGTTGAAGATTTGAGGGTTTCATAAATTCATTTGAGTTCCATTTTCATGGAGATTTCAGAGGTTTTCTGGAAATGAGGTTGTCAGAAAGTGATTGAGTGTGAATGAAATGAGAGCTTAAACCCTGCTTAAGCCCTAGTATCATGCGCTTCTCACGTGATTTTTTTGCCATATAGGGTTTACTAGTATGACTTATGAGGAAATTTCAACTTCAATTTCAATTCCTTCCCTAGCAACAAAAATAAAAATAAGGGTGTGAGCTTTAGTTGTGATTGTGTTTCTCTAAGCACTCTTTAATTCTTTATTCGTGAATAGCCTTAGCCGCTTAGATAGGTAACTATGCACCATAAAGAATAGTGACAAAGTTACTTATAAATGGTTTAAATTCCAACGGTTTAATTATATGGTTTGATGTGTATGTCTTTGAAGAAGTGAGTTTTGCACTTTATTTAATATATCAAGTACGATATGGATTGGATTTGATATCAAGCATATGTACTAAATTTGGTTTTGTGATCTCATAATTTTGTAAATTTATACTCCGTAACAGATACACACCTAGCCCCTTGCATTTGTTGTCTTCCACTGAGATCTAAACTACAATTGTAATTACGAAGAAAGGGTATTCATAACACAACTTGCCATGTCGAATACTAAAGTACAACAACAACAATATTTGTAATCTATACTCCATAGTGTTTATGTACATCAATTAATAATAAAAAAAATTAAATTACACTTTTAAAATATATATTTAGATCAATTCAACAATATTTAATATAGATATTTACACATATTCCCTTTGTCCCATAATAAGTGGTATGATGGACTTTTTTTCACTATGCATATATTAACTTTGACAATAGCTTTATACTAACGTATTAAAACATTCTAACATAAAATATGTTTTTAATTTGGTATTAATAAAAATTTTCATATACTATTTAGTCATATATAAGTAAGGTTAAAGGTAGTGCATTGTTATGTATATGTGTAAAGTTTGACTATGTCAATTATTTTGGGATAAGGAGAGTATATATTTAAAAGTATAATCAAAGTTAACAGATGAAGTACATAAAGTCAAAATGTTATATTCATTGCGAAAAATGAAAAATATTGTAAGTAAAAATAAATAAAAATGATGAGGTATGTGCCTATTGATCTTCCAAATCTAACCTAGTTTTAGAGGGTGGTACTTAATTTTTTGTGAAGCAGGAGAAGCAGAAGTGCAGAACGACACAAGTTTTAGGATCGAATGCTTTTTACCGTGCTCTTTGCACCCCAAAAAAAACCACAAGGTCAATACTCAATCTAGTCATAAAACGAAACATGCGGACAATTTTAAGGATGCTAACTCGCACGAAGCCACGAACTATACCATATTGTTTTGGCCCACAAGACTTGTGCAGGTGGTTGCTTTTATTTCAAAGCCCAACTTTACTACATGTCCATAATAAAATCGCAGCACCTCATTACAATTTACGACCTATTACTGGGCTGTCCGAGAGATTGCTATATATATCCAAATACACGATGCATTCAAGGGTTGTTCGTTTAATAACACAAAGGTATCCTAAAAAATCAAGCTAATAAGAGATAAACCATCTATAAAAGGGCTCTAGCACTTAATATTTCACTTGAAAGTGAGGGTGAGGGTGAGGGTGGGGGTGGATGAGATTTGAACATCTGACCTTTTGTGTCACGCTGGCTGCAATATGATATTGCATTATTGAAGGACTAACTCAATTAAAAGCTTAAGTTGATGGTAGAAACCTATGAATATTTTTTTACTTTATCAGTATCGTTGTTGACTTGGTTCCAAGGTGTAGTTTGTGTGTATCGGTTCTTTTTCACAAAGTATTATATAGCTTAGTAGGAGATTGAATTTCAAAGAAAAATGATCGTGTTCTATATATCTCCTCCTCCCCCCCCCCAACCCCCCCCCCCCCCCCCCTCCAAAAAAAAAAAAAGTTACACTTAAATTAGTATAAACAGCATTTAAACGGAATACAAAAGTGAACATAAGACCTTCAATTTTTGTGTCTTGATTTTGTTAGAAGAATGTTAAAGTAATGGGGTGCCTATTGCCTAAGTATGAATAGAATTTAAAATTTTAGGAGCAAAAATCACTTGTTTTCAAAAAATACGACTATATTAAGAGATTGAATAGATTTGAACTTTGGTTGTATACTTGTATAGAGAGTTAAGGAGTACACAAGCAATAACGATAGAGAATAGCTATCTTAAAAAAAAAAAAAAAAAAAAAAAAAAAAAAAAAAAAAAAAAAAAAAAAAAAAAACTAGTAACTAACTAATTAAACTAGCTAGCGTGTAAAAGAATCTCAAAGGATATCATAAACCCCATTAATCCTTCTTTTTTTTGGTGAAGACATCATATTATGCCTTCAACTTAAGTATTGTGGTTCTTGACAAGTTGTCATAATGGACAACTAACCCCAACCTACTCATCTTCAACTACTAGCACTGTCAAAAACCGAACCGAACTGGTGAAACCGAACCGTTTCAACCGATTCGAATGAGAACCGAACCGATTAAAAACCGATTTTATGAAACCGAAAACCGACCCGAACCGCATGTTAGTAAAACCGAAACCGAACCGATCCGAGTAAACGTTAAACCGTTTAAGAACCGAACCAAATCTAAACCGAACTGAAAGGAAAACCGAACCGAAAATGAACCGAACCGTTTCTAACCCGAAATCGTTTAAACTGGCATAAAAACCGTTTACACCGAACCGTTAACAAACTGCAACCCGTTTGCACCAAACCGTTTATAAACCGAACTGATTATAAACTGAACCGCTTATAAACCGAACCGTTTATGAACTGAATCGCTTATAATTCGAACCGTTACAAACCACTTCCTATAAGGGGTTTTTTGAACGACTCGATAAAAAACCGATTTTTTGAAATAAAAAACAGACCCGAACCGTAATTTAGTAAACCTGAAATAAAACCGATCCAAATAATGTTAGATCGTAGAAGAACCGTACCCGTTAACGAACCGAACCAGTTATAAACCGAACTAAAATAAAACTGAACCAAAAAAGAACCAAAGTGTTGTAACCGGACAAAAACCGTTAACAAACCGCAACCTGTACCGTTTACTACCCGAACCGTTTACAACCCGGACCGAATTTAAACCGGGATAAAAACCGTTTACACCGAACTGTTAACAAACCGTAACCCGTTTGCACCGGACCGTTTACTACCCGAACCGTTTACAACCCGAACCGAATTTAAACCGTTCAAGAATAAACCGAAACCGAATCGAACCGATAATTATTTAAACCGAACTGAAACCGACCCGTAAGACATTTGAACCGATTTTAAACCGAACCGATTTCAAACCGAACTGTCAAACCGTTTTTACAGTACTGTCAACTACACATAATTACAAACTTATCTTTGATTGTTTTTTTTTTTTCCTTTACCTCAAACAAGTAGTATTATTTACGTACACAACCCACTCAACTTAACCTACGTAGTCATGTACGTATCAATTATCAATTTTTTCTTTAGTAAAGATGTGAGATGTTTTTCAGATAAGATTATTTTCACAATTATACATAGTCAATCTTTTGGAGAATGAAATAAAAAAGTACAAACTATCTTAGCGCAGTCCAATTATTGGCATAATTGAGTAATTTGGCTACTCTTCTTTTCTGATTTTATTGATGTTATTTCCTTGCAATCTACTTTATAAGTTGCTTTTGAGAAAGTTGCATGCAAATTTTCATATCTCATGATACTACAACTAACATGAACCATAAACTTCACTTTCATAATTTCATTTGATCTTTTAAGCGGACCATAGTTTATATTATTTATATATGTGCATTTTGATATATTATATAGTACAACTTTAATATAAATCAGTCAAAATGTAGCATATATTTGGACCTCTATCATTTGCTAATCAACTTCATCCCCTTTATTATTATTTTTTTTTTTTTTAAAATGTCCAAAGTAGATAAGTAGCCATCATAGGTCTTTATTTTAAAAAATTACTACGTAAGTTCAATGCAATTTTAAGCAAAATCTTTTATATTATAAAGGGAAATTCCAAAAAAAAAAAAAAAAACACTTAAATTATTATTTCAACGTGTCCATGTTGGACGCGGTGCGTTCATATTTTATGGTGAAGCTTGTAAGAAATAATAAAGTTAAATTAATCTTATTGTTGATTAATCTTGATTTTGTACTTTAACTTTGTTAATTATTGGTGGATTTATGGGGAATGGTATACAAATCCTAGGAAGAAAACTATTCGAAAAGTTTTATTGTTCATACAATCATACTTAATCCCTCTCTAATCTCTATCATCTTTCGTACCTTTTAAAACCAAACATAACTTGCTTTTTAGCTCTTTAAATATTACCCTTAGATAGAATTTTGCATGTGACTTAATTAATTTGGGGTGATCAACCTTGTTTTATGCTTCGTGCAAGTTTTTGCCAACTTGTACAGTTATACACAAATTATTTTTAATTAATAGGCATATTTTTAATTTGTATGTGACGTATATATTGGTTTGACAACATGCAATGTTTCAAATTAAATAATGAGAAATTAAATGTCATATTTTTTGTGTGAAACTCTTCTATGATACATACCACAGTGGTGATGTACACAAGCAACAAATTAGGAGCTTACGAGAAACTCTTCTATGATACATACGTCAGTTTAAGCACTAGTGCACTACACATTAGGAGTACTCTTCGTAAGGAGGGCATCCTAATATTTTTTATTTTACCTAAAAAAAAAAGTTTAGAGTAGATGGTATTAACTATTAAGCTTAATAAGGGTTTTTTCATTGTGTATATCCTTGATGGAGATTAGAATTATGGAGATTAGAATTAGCATTTATTGATCAAGTGAAAGACGAAAATCATGTGACACGTGTGATGTGTCATCTAGCCAATGACTTAATTCTATTAATAATTATATATAGATCAAGGATAGATAATATATATGGTGGACTTTTAATTCGTCTTATTATTAACGTATTATTCTATTTAACGAATCAATATATATGTGTAGACGGATAGACCCATCCATAATCTAATTAATTATTGACACCTAAAGTTTCTCCCAT